CCTGGGATAGGCAGATGTTGTTGTTTGATGGTGTGAAAGGTACCGTTGCAGGATATAAGCTGTTCCAAGTAAAGCTGCCTTTTGAAATTGATGGGTGGTGATTTTGTCAATGCTGACGGTGTTCAAGATGTTTTGGGATTGCACCCAGGGCACCTATTACTATCTTTGCTTTCTTTTGCCACAGTCATTCTACTTCTATTTTCAGGTCTTTATATTTTGTGATTTTCTCCAGTTCATCATCATCATCATCATCTACAGCGTATTTGTTTATTTACTGGGGCTTCTATGGCTCCCCAGTCCAAAAGGCTCTGAGCAGCTTACATTCCTCTTTTACAGTTAAGAAAGTTTCTGAAAAAGGCAGAACAGACAACATACTGTAACAAATTGCCATTATAATTATGCCATTATAATTACAAAAACGTCAGCACTAAGGAACGCTCATGCAACTAAGAATGTAGGACAGGGGAGCTCACTGCTAAAAGCAGTTCCACTCTTGAGGCTGTCTTAAAAAGCCACGTTTTAATGGATTTTCTAAAACCAGCAGGGTAGGAACTACTTTGATCTTAGTAGACGGTTCCAGAGAAGCAGGGCTGTCACTGAGAAGGCCGAGAACAGACGGAACAGACAGAAACTACAGGGAGAAGGTGCTTCTTCCACAGATATCCTGATCCTGAGCTATACAGGGCTCTGAATGTGACAACCGGCATCCTGAACTGCACCCAGAAGCGAACTGATAATCAGGGCAGGTCTCCAAGGAAAGATATTAGATGAGAGAACTTGGTTGCTCTCCTCAGTACTCCAGTGGCTGCATTCTGGACTAGCTGAAGCTTCTGGGTGATCTTTAGAAGCAGCCCTGGGTAGGGTACATTGCTGTAATCCAAACATAAGTGACTCTTAGTAAAGTCTCCTGTTCTAAAAGGAGTCATAAATAGTACATCAGATATAACTGTACAAAAGCCTGGTCACAGCCGCTCAAAAAGGTGGCCACAGCTGCCACCTGCTCTTCAAGCAGGAGCTGAGAGTCCAGGAAGACTCCCCAGCAATAGACCAGTTCTGCATGAGGAAGTGCAACCCCCATCCAGAATTCAAAGAACGAACATATCTGGAATCTGAAGGTTTCTGTGTCCACAACCACTCCCTCTTGCGGGGATTAATCCTGAGCCTGTTCTTCCACATTGGGACCCTCACATCCTCCAGGTGCTACATCTCCTGTTTGCCCCACGATTGACACATACAACTGGGTGATGATATCTGACCTCTTAGATTACTTCTAAGGGTTTCATGCAGATGTTGAATAAGGGAATCAAGAACTTTGAGTGCCCCAATACAGAAGCCGCTGGGGCACAACCTCTCTCTCCTCCCCCCTCCCCACTACTATGACTGAAAACTTCCCCAGGAAGGAAGAGAACCACTGTGAAACCTCACTTGCACCCCTCAGATCTTTGTAGGCTATATTTGGCTCCTGGTTGCTGGTTCTCCACCCAGGTGATGCAACTGAGATAGAATATAGTTGCGTATTTCAGGTATCTGAAAGAATGTCACATACCTGCATTTCTATTGTCCCAGATTACAGAAAGGCAGATTTCAATTCAATATTGGGGAAAACTTCCAGAGAGTAGTAGCAGGTCAATAGTGGAATCAATCCATAAGGGAATATGTTTGGATACTTGCACTGAACAGGGAAATAAACTCCATGGCCTCAGAGCTTCCTTCCATCTCTAGCATTATATGACTGATATACTGAATTTCACTAAAGTAACTTGGGAAGAGATATTTTAGGACAGTGTTTCTTAAACCTTTTGCTCTCAGGACCCCTCCCACTTTTAAAAGTTATGGAAGACCCCAACAGAGCTTTTGTTTGTATAGGTTATATTTGTCAACAGTTACCATATTAAAAATCAAAATGGTTGCATTCATAGAATATATATTTATTGAATCATGTAAAAATAATATTAAACCCATTAGATATTAACATAAGTAAAGTATTTTTCATTAAAAACATAGAGTATTTCTTAATAAATAAAAAATTAATGAGAAGGCTGACATTGTTTTAAATTTTTGCAAATATGATCAATATCTGGCTTAATACAAAGTGGGATTCTCTTATCTGGGTTCTGCATTTAATCTACTGCGATATGTTGTTTTAGTTGAAGTATATGAAGAAAATCTGGCTTCACACAGATATGTACTTGGAAAAGGGAGAAGTATTTTGATAGATAATTGTGGATATTCTTCTTTGATACTACACCAAAACTTGATAAGTGGTAATTTCTCAAAGGTTAGTTCTAATGTGGAATCTGAAATCATATCAGTGAACTTTTTGTATTCTGTTGCATTTAAATCTAGCGATCTGTCTTGCACTAAATGGATCTTTTACCCATGCATGATTTTGTAATGTCATGCTTTGATTATCTGGCAAATATTGGTTCACTGAGTTTTGTAAATCTTCCAAATGTTATACATTTCATCATACAATATCAAAAAATCACATTCATCAATATCATCACCAATTTCATCAGAAAAGTCTTGCATTGGGAAGAGATATTAACTCAGACTTTGTTTTCAGCCAAATCTTTAACTCAACGAGTTACTGTATTGTTTGAAAGTGGCACTCCTGTAATTTCTTTCACTAACTTTTCATCTAGCAGCCATTTAGCAATGCCAACTGTACAAGGCTTTATTAGTCTCTCACCTAATGCACTTCTCCAAGTAAAGCAAAGTGATAACTTACCCTGTAAGACGTTTCAGTGAGTTTTTGAGTTCTAGTATGAAAGCCTGAGAACATTTTTTGGCTTTTCAAGAACTCATCACATCTACATTTAACATATTCAATTCCTTTTTCTTTATCTCAAAATGATGCTGCAACTTAACTGGCACCATAATTTGAAAATGTTCTGTTGCATAAGACACAATAAGATATTACTTGTAATGTCTATAAAGCCAAGGGAAAGATATGTTTCATCGTATTTTAGTTTGTTATTAACAGTTTTGCCCAATTCCTCCTATAGAAAAGAATATGTGTAGCTCAGGGCTGAACTGTGGAGACCTTGGGGTTCTCTGAGCTTGGCTGTTTTCTTGCAAATGTTTCATTACCCAGCTAGGTAACATCTTCAGTGCTAGAATGGAGTGGGGTTTGCTCTCTGTTTATATACAGTGGCTTGCCCTGCCCGTGTTGGGGGGGTGGGGGATTCCCCCCCCCCCCTGGTAGTTCCTTGATTAGGGTATTTTTTCCTGCTTGATTGTATGTCTGGTGATAATCTTGGTGTCAATCTCTGCTTATCTGGGTGATGATTGCTGGTGAGGAGATGTTCTGGTCTTTTGTTTTCCTTTCTGTTGTCTCCTTTGAATAGTGTGTAGATGTTGTTTATCTCTATGTGCCTGTTGACAGCTGCCTTGTCTGAATACCAGGCTTCCAGGAAGAGATGTTCTGGTCTTTTGTTTTCCTTTCTGTTGTCTCCTTTGAATAGTGTGTAGATGTTGTTTATCTCTATGTGCCTGTTGACAGCTGCCTTGTCTGAATACCAGGCTTCCAGGAAGAGATGTTCTGGTCTTTTGTTTTCCTTTCTGTTGTCTCCTTTGAATAGTGTGTAGATGTTGTTTATCTCTATGTGCCTGTTGACAGCTGCCTTGTCTGAATACCAGGCTTCCAGGAATTCTCTTGCATATTTGGATTTGGCTTGGTCTAAAATGCTGAGAGTTTCCCAGTTAAAACTATGGTTGAGTCTGTCCATATGTTATGAGATTAAGGCATTTTCTTCGTGTCTTCTGACTGCTAGTTGGTGTTCATGGACGCGCTCTGCCAGCCTTCTGCCTGTCTGTCCTACATAATGGTTGTTGCAGTCCATACACTGTATATTGTAGATGACTCCTGCTTTTTCTTCTTGGGCTCCTGGGTCTTTTGGTTTACTTAAGATGTTCTGGAGGGCTTTAGTTGGTTTGTGTGCTACAGAGATGCCATGTGGTTGTA